GAGAGAGAGAGGGAGGGAGAGGGAGGGAAAGAGCGAGAGAGCGGAAGGGAGGGAGAAAGGAGGAGAGAGGGAGAGACAGAGAGGGAGGGAGAAAGTAGGTGGGAGAGACAGAGAGAGGGAGGCAAAGCGTGAGAGAGAGGGAGGGAGAAAGGGGGAGGGAGGGAGAGACAGAGAGAGGGAAGGAAAGGACGAAAGAGAGGGAGGGAGGGAGAAAGAGAGAGAAGAAAAGAAAACGTTAAAAAGGAATATCTGCCATTCCAGATGCTAAATTCTCCCTCGCTAGATTCAAATTTAAAAAGCAAAGGAGGATGGCAGGGCAGCCATTTAAATGGCTCAAAGAAGAAACAATGGTTTATTCCAAAGAAATCAGGGTTTATTAAGGTTTACCTTAAAGACTTCCATGGGAAGGGAATGTTTCTCTGCCTCGGTCAGAGCCGTGGTGAGGGCTGTCCGCCATTCAGACGTCGTCTTCAGAGAAGAGATTTCTGCAGAGAAAAGCCCAGGAAATCCCGCAAGCGATTAAACCAGTGGCGCACATTCAACCATCCCGCATGTTGATAACAGACGGTCCTCGACTTACGACCACAACGGAGCCCAAAATATCTGTTGCTAAGCGAGTAAACTTGGCAAAGCAAAGTCACCACATTTTAAAATCCATATTGTAGACAGGAGGCAGCTGTCAAAAATAAGATTAGGGAAAGTAAAAGCTCCCTTGAATCAAGTTCGTCTCTTTCTTTTATTTTTTTAAAGAAGACTTTATTAAGTTTCAAAAGAAGATCGATGGTCACACCAAGACATTCATCTGTTTCTTCCAGGAAAATCATAGCCCTAAGGTGGCACTGACCCCTCCACACATCGCACTGTTTAATCCAGCTTAGCTTTTCAAGATCAGCCAAAGACATGCAGATGTTTTTGCCGTAAATCAGGGGTCTTCAAACCTGGCCCTTTGATGATTTGTGGACTTCAACTCCCAGAATTCCTCAGCCAGCCTCCATTTTATTTGTTAGATTTAAGACAGGGGTCTTCAAACTTGGCCCTTTTATGACTTGTGGACTTCAAGTTCCAGAATTCCTCAGCCAGGCTGAGGAATTCTGGGACTTGATGTCCACAAGTCATAAAAGGGCCACGTTTGAAGACCCCTGTCTTAAATGACGATTCCTTTGAGCTAAGTTGGCTCCTATTGACTTGGAGACCCATCAAGTTTGTTTTCTTTGCAACAGTAGCCTTTTTTTCCTAGGGTGGAGTGGATTTTGTTCTGTTTTTCTGTGTGTGCTTTTGCATTTCCAATCTAGCGTCCACCCAGCCTGAGATCGCCTTGGCCTCCACTCACTTCGGATCTCGTTTAGCTTTTCTCAAGATGAACCAAATGACATTAACACCTTGGATGGATGGATGGATGGATGGATGGACGGACGAGTGGATGGATGGGTGGGTGGGTGGATGCAAGATTGATGGATGCGTGGATAGATAGATGAATGGTAGGTAGGAAGGAAGGAAGGAAGGAAGGAAGGAAGGAAGGAAGGAAGGAAGGAAGGAAGGAAGGAAGGAAGGAAGGACGGTTTAGACTGATGGGTGGGTGGGTGGATGCAAGAGATGGATATGTGGATAGATAGATGGTTGGTTGGTTAGATGGAAGGAAAAAAGAAGGAAAGGAAGGAAGGAAGGAAGGAAGGAAGGAAGGAAGGAAGGAAGGAAGGAAGGAAGGAAGGAAGGAAGGATGGTTAGACAGATAGATGCATGGGTGGATGGATGGGTGGATAGAAGGGTGCATGCAAGATAGATGGATGTGTGGATAGATGGTTGATTGGCTAGATGGATTGATGGATGGATGGGATGTTGGTTAGATGGATTGGTGGATGGAAGATTGGGTAGATGGATGAAGGGGTGCATGGATGGATAAATGAATGGCTGATTAGATGGAAGGATGGATAAATGGATGGATTTATGCATGTATGGAATCATGGATGCATATTGGTTAGATGGATGGGTGAATGGATGGATGGTTGGTTGGTTGGATGGATGGATGGATAGATGAATTTATACATAAGTGGATGGATGCATGGATGGATGGATGCATGGATGGATGGATGGATGAATTTATGGATGGATGAATTTATGGATGGATGGATGGATTTATACATAGATGGATGGATGGATGGATGGATACATGGGTAGATGATAGGTGAATGGATAGTACTTTCTAGTACCTGCAGGTGGTTCTAGCTGGTATTTATTCTCCTGACACCAGCCCACCGGTCGAAGTCTACAATCCAAGTAAAACAGCCACTGGTCATAAGACTCTGTTTCCTCCAATCCCGCATAGCGAAGGCGCAATCTTCCGCCGACATTCTCCACCACGCTCACTATCCAGAACTGAAAGGGACTCTGGCCGTCCTGCAGCTCTATTAAGGAATCCACCGTGATGAGGTCTACAGCGTTTTTCCCTCGCAGAGGCTGTTTGAACAGAAGCAAAACTCCTTCTTTTAAACGTCATGGAACATCTCCTCTTAGCAAAATACTTAGAAAAATCACCAAAATTTCCCTCTAGGAAATCATTTTTCCTCCGTCCTCCATGCTACACATGCCATCCCATTTGCCCCCTCATTTTATTCCTGTTAGGCATTAATTATAGTAAGATAGGCGGCCAATAAATTGAATAATCAATAATTTTTTTAAAAAATGCTGTAAACACAGCAGGAGACGAGAAGAGAAATTAGCCAATACCTACGCCTTCTAGTAATTTTGCAGGCACCGTTCGTGAGCCCGTCAAATCACGTATGAGGAACTCCGTCCAGTCCGAGTATTTCTCTTTGATAGCTTGAAAACAGAATGGGAAGACGCGATTACTTGAAGGACACGATCACCTCTTTCTTTGTGTAGCTGAACGTAGGGAAGAGGCTGCATCCTGGAGGAGGAAGAGGCACCTCAGCCCAGGCGTTGCGTGTGTGAGAGAAAGAGGGCGAGGACAGCCAATTGTACATTTTCTTGCTATTATTTGCTTCGCCCACAGGTTATTTGGAGGTTGCTAGGAAATCAGAAGCGTTTCTCAAAGAAAGTAAAATAAAAATGGAATTTTAAAAAGGCCCGGACGGATTGCCGAGCATTTCACAAGGGAAAATGAGGCTGGTCCACACTTTGATATTACGGGGTAAAACCACATGCTTGAAATGGGAGATGCAAGTCTGGTGAAACGTAATGGGAGAAAACAAAATAACAGACGGAAGCGAGTGGAATAAGGTAGAAAAGATGTACTTTTAATATTGCCTGGATAGAACAGGGAGAAATCTGACTTTTAAAAACTTAAAAAAGTCAATAGATTCGAGATATGTCTGGCTACAATACCCAGAATTCCAAATCTCTTCATCACCAGGACTAGAAACTTGACAAATTAATTCTGACTCACCGTCGGGCGGCATCAACACTTTCCCGTTCTGCGTGCACCAGCCCACCGGGTGGAGGTCCGCCGTCATCACGTCACACCAGAAGTCCGCCCGGCGGTCATCTCCGTAACCACAATAGCGCAGCAGCAGCAGCTGGCCACACGTGGCGATGGTGGTGGCCACCCAGTAAGTGTCCACGTTGTGCTTGTTGGCCACCTCCAGTTTCATGCCAGGCTGCAAGCTGCTCTGGAGGCTGATTTCCACCTTGGGAAAGGAGACCCAGAGGTGATGTCATTTTGAGGGGGGGGGAGGCGGCGAAGGGATGGGGAGGGTCACAATCTGTAATCCAGATTAAGCCAATTTGATCAAGTAAGCTAGCTGCGGGACAATACAGGTGATCCTCATCTTATGACCACAATGGAGCCCAAAATTTCCATCGTTAAGCGAGACAGGTTTTCAAGGGAGTTTTGCTCCATTTTACCACATTTCTCACCCGGTTGTTATGTGAATCACTGCAGGTTGCTGAATGACTAACACAGTTGTTAAGTGAAACTGGCTTCCCCGTTGATTTTACTTGTCAGAAAGTTGCAAAAGGGGATCACATCATCCCGGGACGCTGAGCGACCGTCATAATCACGGAGCCAGTTTGCGTGAAAAATAGTTATGTCATTTTTGTTTCCTGTGCTGTTGTCACTTGGAAGGCAGATTCATTTAGCGACCGTGTTACTAACAACGACTGCCGTGATTTGCAGTTGTTGCAGTTGTGCAACAACTGAAAATCACTGGCGTTGTTCAGTTAGTAACACAGTTGCTAACTGCAGTTGTGCAACTGTAGCAAGAAACGTCATAAAACAGAGCAAGACTCCCTCGATCACTGTCTTGCTTAGCAATGGAAATTTTGGGGTCGTAAGTAAAGGACTACTGCACAGATGTAGATTATGTAAGGATGATTACAATGAAAGAGTCACCCTTTATTCAAACCACACACAGACACGCATAGAGGGGAAACTGCTGTGAGTGTAATTTCTGTTGTTGCTTTCTTTTTTCTTTCTTTCCCTCGTCATAAATTGCAAAATAATTAGCTCATTCTGGTCACCACTGTGTTCCCTTTACTGAATTAACCACGGCTGCATCGTTTTCATCAAATTCTCAAATTTCACTGCAATCAGTAATAGAAAATGCATTTACAAACCTTTAAAAAAAAACATATGAAGGCTTGTCAGGGCCACGAAAACCAAAGCTGTACCCAATTTTTTCTTCTTCAAAAATACCCGAGTCTTCCTTTTTCTTTCAATTAGTAAGGTCTCGTTATTGTTCAAATATGTTGCCCTATTTTATTACAGAGGTTTGAGATTTAGCACCACCGCCATCAATTCTCCGGGACGCCAGCTGGATGCCTTTCAACTGTCGGTTTGGCCTACCTAAGGATTCCCAGGCTAAACTTTGCAAACATTTCCCGCTAATTTGCGAACTTAAGTTGAATATGTGCTGCTTTTTTTTTTTTTTTTATCTTTCTCTGCTTTAATTTCGCAGTTGAGCAATTGCAGAAAAATTGGCTTCTCCCCAGCTAATTTAAGCTTTTTTCCCCCTACCTCCTTAGCGGAGTTCCTCTGCTTCTTTTCCCATTTCCTGCTCATTTAAACTAAGATTAGAAATGCTGTACAGTTTCAAATATCAGTAGCCAGCAGCCAATGAGCAGAGATAATGGGAGTTGTAGTCCACATCAGGTGGGCTCACGGATTCCTGAATTCAACGGGAATTTCTTTTAAGTCAAACGGGATTGTGCTGTTTGTCAGACATTGGGACACCCCCCCCCACCCGGTGTCTAAATTCTCAATGAGGAATAGAAACCTTACAGTCCTGGCAATCTACATACGTGCTTAAATAAAGAATGTGGAGCTGCAGTAGATTCTGATTCTTCCAGATATTCGTCCCAGTTGAAATCTTCAAGGTTGCAGCTGTCCTCTACTGTAAACAATAATGATAATGATAATAGGACTTAGCGAAAAAAGCAAGACTATCAAGTTTCAACTTACAATTCAACTTACGACCATGAGCCCAAAACGTCTGCTCCTAAGCTAGACAGCTGAGTCGTTAAATATTGCCCCGTTTTATGGCCGGTTGAATTGTGACTCAAGACAATTGAGTCTTGTGGAAAAAGGAGTGGTACTTAGGAACTAGGACTTAGGAGCCCTGGTGGCGCAGTGGTTGGAAGGCAGTATTGCTGGCAAACTCTGCCCACCGCCAGGAGTTCGATTCTGACAGGGCTCAAGGGTGACTCAGCCTCCCATCCTTCCGAGGTCAGTAAAATGAGGATGCAGATTGTTAGGGGCAACAGGCTGACTCTGTAAACTGCTTAGAGAGGGCTGTAAAGCACTGTGAAGTGGTATATAAGTCTATTGGGAAGGAAGGAAGGAAGGAAGGAAGGAAGGAAGGAAGGAAGGAAGGAAGGAAGGAAGGAAGGAAGGAAGGAAGGAAGGAAGGAAGGAAGGAAAATGGGAATGAGAGGAAGGAGGGAGGGAGGGAAGGAAGGAAAGAGATGGGAAGGAGAGGGAAGGAAGGAAGGAGATGGGAAGGAGAGGGAGGGAGGAAGGGAAGGAAGGAAGGTGGGAATGAGAGGAAGGAGGGAGGGAGGAAGGGAAGGAAGGAATGTGGGAATAAGAGGGAGGGAGGGAGGAAGGGAAGGAAGATGGGAATGAGAGGAGGGAGGGAGAGAAGGAAGGAAGGAAGGAGGGAGGGAGGGAGGGAGGCAGGCATGATGGCGCAGTGGTTAGAATGCGGTATTGCAGGGTAACTCTGCCCACTGCCAGGAGTTCAATCCTGACCGGCTCAAGGTTGACTCAGCCTTCCATCCTTCCGAGGTCGGTAAAATGAGGACCCAGATTGTTGGGGGCAAATAGGCTGACTCTGTAAACCACTTAGAGAGGGCTGTAAAGCACCGTTTAAGCGGTATATAAGTCTGTTATCGCTAGGGCTACTTAGACAAGTATGACCGAAGCTTATCAGCACTATAATGTTTAGAGAACTGAAACCTTTACAGATAAAGAAGAAAAATATGTTTGTATCGCTATTAAATGCTGACAAGAATTTAGGGCCCTGAAATGCCACACTTGTAGGTGTTTATATCTGCCGTGCAGTGCGACAGTAGTAATAAATTATTAGATCTGGATGAGCGGATCTGAAGCCCTTGCAGACACAGGCAATATCTACACCTGTGTTACTCAACGTTGGCAACTTTAAGATGTGTGGACTTCAACTCCCAGAATTCCCCAGCCAGCCATGCTGGCTGGGGAATTCTGGGAGTTGAAGTCCACACATCTTAAAGTTGGCAGTGTTAAGAAACAGTATATTAGGTGCAGAAATGCATTCGATATCACCTGTAACCGGTCTTTTTTCCCCCCTTCTTCTTCAGCTCTGCATCTCATCCAAGAAAAGTTTGGATAATCTAAAAGATCTGAAAACAGAAGAACTGACCCAACGCTTTCTCCCTTGTCTCTTCATCTTTGGAAACACAAAACCAACTCAGCTTTGTGCAACATCCTTTGCTAAGCCTTTAAAATCCATGCGACTTGTGCACTGCAGGAAAACATCGATCATCGCAGCCCCTCAAAGATGAACAAAGATGGTGGAGACAAAGTGCCCGAAGCAACAACTTCCCCAGACAGATTTATAAAAGCTGCTACAAGAACCCCTGCTGTACCTCTTATTATTTTATCGGATTAGAAAAGCACCGTTTGGAAACAGGTAAGGCGTTTAAAAGGGCATCTTTCAAGCAACAGTTAAACAACCATGTCCATTTCCAACCGGATAAAGGTATATAAACAGACAAAGATGGAGTTTCATGCTGTCCCTTTCTCAAAGACAGTGTGGAGTTGTTGTTTTTTTTCTAAAATAAAAAGATGCAGAGTTCCAGGATGGAATAAAAACCGCTTCTCACTTCCTTGTTCTTGGCTCTGTTGCCTGTTCCAGAACTGCTAAATTACCTAGCAAGTATCTCTTGTCATGCTATAAACTTCAACCCATAATAGTTAGAGTCCCACAACCTAATAATGGAAATTAATCAAGGAGAGAAGCAACCTAGAACTAAGACGAAATTTCCTGACAGTTAGAACAATTAGCCTGTGGAACAATTTGCCACCAGAAGTTGTGGGTGCTCCAACAATGGAAGTTTTTAAGAAGAGACTGGATAAACCTTTGTTTGAAATGGTATAGGGTTCCTGCCTGAGCAGGGTGTTGGACTAGATGACCTCCAAGGCACCTTCCAACTCTGTTATTCTATTCTATTCTATTCTATTCTATTCTATTCTATTCTATTCTATTCTATTCTATTCTATTCTATTGAGACTCTAGATTAGAAAGAGTACAGAGAAGAGCAACAAAGATGATTAGGGGACTGGAGGCTAAAACATATAAGGAGCGGTTGCTGGAATTGGGTATGTCTAGTTTAACGAAGAGAAGGACGAGGGGGGACATGATAGCAGCCTTCCAGTATCTCAGGGGCTGCCCCAAAGAAGAGGGAGTCAAGCTATTCTCCAAATCGCCTGAGGGCAGGACAAGAAGCAATGGATGGAAACTAATCAAGGGGAGAAGCAACCTAGAACTAAGGAGAAACTTCCTGACAGTTAGAACAATTAACCAGTGGAACAACCTGCCTCCAGAGGCGGTGAATGCTCCAACACTGGAAGTTTTTAAGAAGAAACTGGACAGCCATTTGTCCGAAATGGTATAGGGTTACCTGCCTGAGCAGGGGGTTGGACTTGATGACCTCCAAGGTCCCTTCCAACTTTTTTTATTATTATTGTTGTTGTTGTTGTTGTTATTATTATTATTATTATTATTATTATTATTATTATTATTATTATTATTATACTATCATTACTATTATTACTATTATTATTATTATTATTATTATACTATTATTATTCTATTCTATTCTATTCTATTCTATTCTATTCCATTCCATTTCATTCCCTTCCATTCCCTTCTTCCTGGTGCCCCCAGATGGACATCTCCTTCCTCCTCATTCTGATGGGTCAGGTAAATTTAATTGGGGAAAAAAATGATCCTCCGAGTAACCAGGCCTCAGGCCCTGTAGGACAGGGATCCCCAGCCCCCCCCCGGCTGCACCCCATTTGGAACCAGGCTGTGCAAGCCGTGGGCAAGCTAGAACATGCACGCAGCTCCACTTGCGCGAGTGGCATGTGGCTTGCAGCTCCATTTGCATGCGCTCACGTGTGCCCCTGCCAGTCACACGGAATCGTCCCCTCTCTCCTCTATCAGTTTGCCAAGCCGGGAAGCTTGGGGACCGCTGGAGTAAGGCTTTAAATGTGGGAACTAGCACCTTGAATCCAACCCAGAAGCAAATTGGCAGCCATTGCAGCTTCTTCTTGTAAGAGAGGTGACTCCATGTGTGAATCTAGTCTTGCACCAAACCGTGTGGGTTGCCGCATTTTAAATCAATTGAAGCTTCCGGATAGCTTTCAAGGGCAGCCCCGTGTAGATCGCCTTGCGGTAGTCAAGATGTCAACCCGTTGCAATGTTGATAAGGAAATATGTTTTTTTTAAAAAAAGCACCTGAATGAAAAGGTTCCGTGTTGCCGTTAGCTGGGCCGGGAAGCTTTTCCAAAGGAAGGTGATGAGAATCTTCCATCTTAAGGATCAGAGACCTCGCCCTCTCCATCACTCAGGCCAAAGTGGTTTTGTTGTTCATTCCAGGGCACGACATTCCTATAGAAATAAAGACGAGAGCCTTTGAAGAAGCTTTTCCCATTGTAAAATCTTTTCCCTTTGTTCTCTCTCTCTCTCTCTCTCTCTCTCTCTCTCTCTCTCTCTCTCTCTCTCTCACACACACACACACACACACACACACACATACACACACACACACTCACACACACACACACACACACACACTCAATGTCTATCATATCTATCATATCTATCATATCTATCATATCTATCCATCCATCCCTGGAGCTCAGTGGCTAGAATGCAGCATTGCAGGCAAACTCTGCCCACCGCCAGGAGTTGGATTCTCACCAGCTCAAGGTTGACTCCGCCTTCCATCCTTCCAAGGTCAGTAAAACGAGGACCCAGATTGTTGGGGGCGAAAGGCTGACTCTGTAAACCGCTTAGAGACGGCTGCAAAGCACTGTGAAGCGGTATATAAGTCTAAGGACTATTGCTATTTTAGCCTAGATTAGCACATTGTGAACGTCCAGTGTGTTCCCCTCCACTCACACACTAACCTAATACAGATCTCCAATGCTTTCCGGCTAATTTCTCTCTAAGCTACCTGAAATCTGAGAAAGATCCCCACTCAGCATATGCTTGCCAAACGACCACACACCCACACGTACACAAACCTTCCTGGTTTTTTCCAACCACACATCCCCGCTTCTCTCCTTCCGCCTCCTTTTGCAAAAGGGAGGATCGTCTGCGCAACGAGCTGGCGGGGACGCGCGCAATTCAAAACCTCCGCTGGCTTCTCCGGTTCTTTCTCTCCGAGAAAAGCCTGGATTCAGACGTGCGCAGGACACGGAGACCCAACCGGACCCGCCCGAAGGAGATTTTCTCCCCCTCCCCGGAATGCAGAGGCGGAATTGCGCAACCAAATCACGCCGCGCCCACCCCCGGTTGTTTCGCTGTCACGTCTGGAATAAAACCCGCCCCGTGTACAACCCGGGTTGCCAACACGCGAAATCTTCATTCGCCTGTGGGGAATTGACTTGCTTCTTTTGTCGAGGGGGCTTTAGAGCTCCCAGCCTATATATGCCAAGCCTGCTTGGGCGGTTTAATTGGGCAGACTCGGGAAATGCCTTGATCATGCGGGTTAGACGTGTCGTGTGAACACAGACCCGTAATTAACCCCACCCAGCCACCCTCGCCTCCGCATTCTGTCGGCATTAAGCGATCTCTTCGCACCTGCGCGCGGTCGCATTTTTCTAGGGATGCGCGCAGGAGACCCGGACCCTCCCCCTCTCCCTTTCAAACACGTCGGAATGCACTTTCCAGAAACAGAAAGAGCGACCCGTGATATTTGTCCGTCGGGATTTGATCCGAATTGCAGTTCTAGCGTTGGCAAGGCAGTATCCTAGCCCAGGGGTCTGCAACCTTGACAACTTTAAGTCTTGTGGACTTCAGCTCCCAGAATTCCTCAGCCAGCTCTGCTGGCTGAGGAATTCTGGGAGCTGAAGTCCACAAGTCTTAAAGTTGTCAAGGTTGCAGACCCCTGTTTTAACCAACGTTAGAGTCTCCTTCGTTGGACTTCGCGATCGAAGCGTTTTTCCGGGCTGTTTTACGCCCTTTCAATGCGGTCTGCAACTAAGGGATTTCTACGTGGTGCTCACTCCAAATATTACCGTGATCGGAGCCGACCGTGTTTTGCCTTCAGAGTTTAGTAGATGTCGGCGGTGGACTTCTACAACCTGGATTTACTTGAAAGTAAAGTCCCAATCGAAGAAGTACTACTACATCCCAGATCCAGGGGCCCGGAATGGGTCCATTTTATTTATTAATAATCCCACCCAAATCCTGTGAAGCAATGAGACTTCGCCTGGATTCACAGGATCCCATGAACCTCTGAATGAAGCCCAGTTGCTTGGGTGAAGACAGCCCGCCCACGTGTTTAGCGGGCGTCGTGTGTATACACTGCACTGAGAAGATGCATTTCGAGTCTTCAGAATATTTAAGATGTTAGACACGGGAAGCGAAGAGGCACCGACTGTTGAAATCTTGGAGTCTGCTAGAGATCATGGTTGAAACAGAAAAGCCGCCAGGCTCCCAATTTAAGGCTTCAGTCCTGTCCCGATTGCTGGTTCACACGAGACGTTTAAACCCGCCTTAACCAAAAGACACATTCCTGCAGCTCCTAAGAAACGCCTTGACAAATTGGCTTTATTGCCATCCACACGCCAATCCAAAAGTTTTCCCAACACGTTCAGCTCACTCCAAATCAGTCTAGTCTAGTGGGTCGTGTGAACTCGGCCCCGCTGCTGCTTCTGGGGAAAAAAAAAACTGCAGTCGCTTAAGAACAAGGGGAAAGGCTATGTGATGGCCGAGTACATTGCCTCTTTCACCGAAGCGCGGTTACCCCTTTGCCCCTAGAACGTGTGAGCGAGTTCCACCCGCAATGTTGAAATAAAGCCTATTTCCATGCACGGCGTAGAATTAATGAAAACAGTCTCTTGGAGTTAGTTCTGCAAGTTGGGGGAGGGGGAGGCGTTTGTGCACGTGTATGTGCCGCGTTCACACGTTTCTCCTACTTGCAGAATTGACCGTTTTCTGGATTCGCAGACACTTAGGAGCTCACAAAACCAGCAGGAATGAACGGGAATCTAAATCCCGCAAACGTTAAAACTTGAATTAAGAACTAATGAAGATTCTAGCGCGTTGGGCGAACGTAGCCAAGGGGCTTACATTTTCCTGGGAAAGAGCGTCGTGGGGACGAGTCATTCTAGCCACCATCACACCCCGTTTTACAAGGCACACCCTCCTCCCAAACTGACTCCCCCCCCCTTCAAAGAAACCTCATCCAAGCACCGTTGCTGCCCGGCGTTCCTGACACCGTCCCTGGGAGCCAAGGATGATGGGGACTGTAATTCAACACGCGTGGTAAGGAGGCGGGTCTGGTGTGTGTGTGGGAAATCAGCTGTCAATCCCACCTGTCAACTCGGAAGAGATCCCCCCCGCAAAGCGCATCTTCAAACATACACTATCGAAAAAACAGGAGGGTCATTCGTCATTCCAAAGCATTCGTCTGAACTGGTATAGGGTTCCCTGCCTGAGCAGGGGGTTGGACTAGAAGACCTCGAAGGTCCCTTCCAACTCTTTACCATTTTAAAGCCCAGAGATGCGCGGTACGGCAGAGGCGATCCTATACTGTCTCCGATTAGGAGGGGCTGCAGATTCTCCCCCCCCCCGGCTTTCCTCCTTTCCGGGAACTAAACAAGCTAGCCAAATCCGCGCAACGTTCCCCGCAGTCTCCAGAGTCAGGATCTTAGGCGTGGACTTCGACGCGCCATCTCTGGATCGGGTCTAACCCAGGGCTGCCACCCACCTCCTAACAGGAGGCTGCGGGTCCCCCGACAACCGGGGCGCCCCCCCCTCCGCCCCGCCCCCCCCTGCGGAGGAGCCGAGGGGCGCCCGCGCTTCTCTTGCGCAAACGGGGGTGGGGAGGCTGGCTGATTGCGCGTCCGGCCAGGCGGCTTCAGCCTTTTTTGGGGGGGGACAGCGAGCCCCAAACCTCCTCCTGGAAGGCAGGCGGATCCCGGAGCCCCGCTTGGCTCCGACTTGAGACGGCGGAGCCCTGGGAGAGGCGCGCCAGATCTCCCCCCTCCCTTCCCCTGGAACTCGGCTATTAATAAATCTGCCAAAAAGGGGAGAGAGAGAGAGAGAGAGAGAGAGAGAGAGAGAGAGAGAGAGAGAGAGAGAGAGAGAGAGAG